CCAGAGAGATGTGCAGTTCGGGGGGAGGGGGAGACGCGGGGGGAATGCAGGTGGCCACCGGCATCTGATGTCATGTCCTTTTCTCTTCCCGGTGACTCCCTGAAGCCTTTTCCAGGCGCGTTGGCCGAGTGGCAATGAGGATTCAAGGCCAGGAGGCGTCCCGCCCGTTCCTGGCACAGCGCCCGGGTGCTCCACAGAGACCGCGCTCGCAGAACAACGTCTACAGCGCCTGCCCGCGGCGTGCACCGCTACCCGACCGAGTGGGTGAGTGCACACACGCGTGAAGCGTGGAGACGGGCTCCAGCGGGGCGCGGGGCACAGGTGGTGGCCAGGCCTGGAGAGGCCCAGCCCTCACCGCTTTCTTCTTCCCCGTAGGCCCAACAGCGGCTCCCCTCCTCAGTACCCCAGACTCAGCAACCCCCGCCCCGCCGCAGGTAAGCTCCTCCTACCCAGCCAGTGATTGGTGCTCAGCCTGACAAGCCTGCGCCTCTAGTCCTGGGTACCCCAACCGGTTGTATCCAGTTCCTACGTCGAAGTCCTCAGGAGAACTCTGGTTACCTTACTTACCTGGTCAAGCATTTCTCTTGGGATAAATGAATGCTGGATGGCTTTAGTCAAGTAGAGAATGATAAAAGCTGTGTAACCCTGCAGTGACAGTGGTGTAAAAGGGACTTAGGTTTCTAGAAGGATAGAGAGGGTGGAAGCTACCCCAACAGTTTTAACTCAGTGTGAGGGAGAACATTCTGGAACATTTAAAATGAGAGGCGGTAATGTGGCCATCAGCCTTTATCCAAAGTGATGGGGCAGAGATGCAGATGTTCAAACAGAACAGGTGTGTCCTTTTGTTTTTCCAAATTAAGGGAAAATTCTTTAAGTATGTGCAACGTCTAAAACAGTGGGGTTTGTAGTCAGAAAAATATTAATAAGGGCACTGTGTGTGTTAATTAGTGATGATTAATTAAATACAACAGACCTAAAAAATGCAGAGCTCAGGACATGGAGGCCATGTCTTCCTCTGAAGTCAAGGTTCAAACCAGAGGGACCAGAAGAAGTGGCTTAATCCATGACACCATCCAGGGATATTTGCTCTAACAACCTCAACAAACTTCCACGTCCATGGTCAGTATCCAGTCACCAGACCAAATCCTTATTTCTACCCACAGGGAAAATGGCTTGTTTATGACCATGACCCTGAGTTTTCATATCTCACTTCCACTCGCCTCCCATTAGCTGTCTTGCAGCACATCAGCCTTCAAGGAAGGTCATGAATGTCATGCCTGGTCGGCAATATATTGATTAAATGATCACGTGTTTGTCTAAAAGGGGAAGAAACCTGTAGTCACCTCCAGCCTCTTGAATGTGTCCTCTCACCCACATACCCCCCCCAATAGTCCCCAAGGCTTGGGGGGACTGACCCAGCAGAGCCTGTCATCTTTTCCTGTGGATCTGCCCTACGGTCATACAGACCCTCTTCTGGTCTGCCTCTCACTCAGTGCTGACCCTGCCTCCCTCTGTGAGACCCTCCTTTCACTTAGGGTGAAAAAAGTTTTGACAGGATAAATTCACAGGACACATATGCTCAATGACTTCATTCAGTCTTCAGAGTGAATATATTTTTAATTTATTTTATGTGCATTGGTGTTTTTGCCTGCTTATGTCTGTATGAGGGTGTTGTATCCCCTAGAATTGGAGTTGCAGAGAGCTGCTGCCATGTGGGTGCTGGGAATGAACCCAGGTCTTAACCTCTAAGCCATCTCTCTAGCCCTATAGTGAATATTTTTACTGTCTGCGAGAGATGTGCTTTTGAAGCAAGCTTCTGCTATTTCTTTCTTTTCTTTTCTTTCTCTCTTTCTTTTTTTCTCTTTGGTAACATATAAAATGTAGAAGTTCTTTATACCGAATGCTTCCTGCATTCAAAGGATTGCTCTTCTAATTCTTAGTACGTCAGATGACTGATCTCAGTGTCTGCCACGACATACTTCTGTAGCTATTACATTGCTTGTACCCTGTTGGAATCTTGACATAGCCTTGTCTTCTGAGAACTAGCTGCTATGAAGGAGGAGTCCTAAAGCTTCTGTCTGGCAGAGAGAAGCACCCCAGTGCCCACATAACTTGCAATCTTCCTTCCTCAGCTGCCCAGCCCTTTTCTGGAATGCATTCTTGTGCCATGTTATGGCAGAGGTATAAGAAATGACTCACCTACCTCTGAGTAGTTGCCGGAGAAGGTGCATATTTTTCCTACAAGTCATATCCCTTTATCCCCAAGGGGAGACTTCTGCAGGTGGGCCTCCTTCACACCGTGTGATTTCAGTCTGAACCCCATGTAAAGCATATCCTGCCCACATTAGAATGAAGTAGTTTCCAGTTATTTGAGGGTGAGACTGCACCCTGAAAAACCCTGGGGCTGGCCCACTTAATGGAGTTCAGCCAATTCTGCATCATTACCATCTGGACCTCAGCAATCAAGTCCATGTCGTTCCATTTCCTGCAACGGATATCCACCTAAACCAGATGCTAAAATCACCCCGCCAGAGCTACTGACACTCCTTTGGTTGTTCTCAGGTACTTGAAGCCCCGTGGCCTCACACCCCATCTCTGAAGACAAGCTGTGAGTATGTGACCTTGGGCTACCAGCCGGCTGTCAACGTGGAAGACAGTGATTCAGACGATTACATCAATATTCCTGGCCCATGTCATCTCCCCAGCTGTCCCACGGGGCCCAGATCTTCGTGCCAATGAGTCCTGCCTGTCTGCTGATGCCCAGCACCTTTTTAAATTTGTTATAGGACCCTTACCTCCTATGTCCCATACCCCAACTTGAGTCTCGCCTGATTATCTGAACGCCTTGAGAATGGTCCTATCACAATTTAATTTTCACCCCCTTTATACCCCCTGCACTCATCGGGAGAACTTGGGACACACAGAGCATTCATTTGTCGTGACAGCACCTGCCCCTTCTGTGCCACCTAACATCCTAGGGGACCTACAAGGTGCTTCATCACTATTAGTCACATGGCCTTTGCTGCCCTACCCCTAGCTCATGTGGCATCAGACAGGAACATAAACCTGGCTGATCTTTCCAGGCCCTGAACCCAAGGGCCTAATGAGCTTCCACTTCTCTTGAGTCCCATGTCAAGGGCAACTTATTTGATATGATGACTTATTCTAAATTTTTAGAACTAAGCTTTCGTTAGTGTTAGGGACACACACACACACACACACGAATCCTCTTGAACTCCCCATCACTTGGTATAGATAACCTGACTCCAGCATCTCTCTCTTTCAGAAAGTCTTGCCTATCTCCCTACCTTCTTCTATATCTCGGCGCCTTCACTTTGATCTTAGCCGAACTATCACCTCTCTCTGCTTTCATAAATACAGCCATTTCCTTGTCAGTTCCAGACAGCGCATAGCAAGGCATGGGAGCAAAGCACCCTGGGGGGTCCCACGAAGTCAGGGCTCTGCACTAGCACTTCCAGCACATGGAAGAGACATCCCACCCTGCTCATGCTTCTTGCCTGATGTTTAGAGCAAGGGTAGAGTCAGGCACGTCTGGAATTGACATCAGCGGCAGAGTTCAGGCATAGCATGAGGCAGGAGAATGCCAGTTCTTGTGTTTGAGAAGAAGGCCTTTCCCAGATACACAACACATGCTCCCTGACCACTTTCCTAGACATAGAAGGAAGTGGCTACCTGAGTCGAGCTGCCTTTCTTCACAAGGAATGGCATCACAGATTGAACACTGCATCCAGGTACGAAGTCACCCTCAGTTTGACACATCGTATTAAACAGATAAGGAAAGAATGATATTATAAGAAAAGACAGGTACTTGGAGAAATTGGGGAATGGGGTGGGTGGGGAATCAAAGAAAAAGGTGAAGTTCTGGAATGAATCGGCTTTGTTTTAGCCCACATTGTAGCTTTCATCATTTAGTCTTCAAATTAGTGTCCTTTGGTGGAGCAATAACTGTATATGGAAGTTTCTGTCCCACCTGCTCCCTCAGCTCTTCAGTCCCAAAGAAACACACAGAGGCTTGTATTAATTATAAACTGTTTGGCCTCTTAGCTTGGGCTTATTATTAGCTAGCTCTTACCTCTTAAATTAACCCATAATTCTTATCTATGTTTAGCCATGTGGCTTGGTACCTTTTCCCAGTGAGGCATTCTTATCTTGCTTCCTCTGCATCTCGCTGACTACTGCATCTCTGCCTTTTTTCTTCCCAGAATTCTCCTAGTCTGGTCACCCTGACTATACTTCCTGCCTGGCTATTGGTCAATCAGTGTTTTATTGAGCCAAAATGAGTGGCAGATCTTTACAGTGTACAAGAGCATTCTCCCACAGTAAATGACTCAGAGGTTAAGAGCACTGGTAGCAATTCCAGAGGACCTGGGTTGGATCCTCAGTACCCACCTGACAGCTTACAACTATTTTTAACTCTAGTCCCAGGGGATCAACATACAGGCAGACATAAAACCCATACACGTGAAGATAAATAAAATCCCAAGTCAGTGCCTTCCTTTCCACCCAGCACTCTCTCCCTGTGTGATTCCCAAGCACTAAATCATCACCAACACTTATTGTTCCCCAACAGTTCAAAACAGACAAAAATAAATAAATAGAAGCAATCCAGTTTAAATATTTACTGAGGGACCATCAACTGTGATCTGTTGCCAGATCACAGGAAATAACGGGAGCGTGGGGCACTGCATTCTGCTGCTTTCGTGGAGCGTCCAAGCTCACAAATAAGTATGGTTTCCACGGAAACAGTGACAATTATTTAAATAAAATTGTAATAAATATGTGAATCCACCTTGAGGGTCAGTTACAGCATTCAAGACACCTTCCATGACAGTCATGTGGACTGCTGAAGAAGGAAGTCTAAGAGAAGCCTGAGCCAGCCATGGAGTCAGTCGGTGACCAAGAGTCCAAGGACAGCAAGGGTGTAAACAACAGCTTGAGATGGCATGGAAGACAAACGAGGACATCATTTTGGCAGACAGTCAGAGCTGGTAGAATTTCTGCATCCAGGTCAGGAGAATGTCCACTTCCCCAAAGACTTTCACCAAAGCTGCTTCTGTGTCCATCTGCAGCAAAGGGAGAGTTAGGGGTCAGGGACACTGACTTTGAGAATAGTTTCCTTCCAACCTGGCTTGCCCAAAAGGGACCTGATTCCAAATTAGCTGAATCACCTGGGGAATGGCCTCTGAAAAATGCATCCACCCATCACTTGTACCCCATCCATGTGTATTTTGTTTCCAGGGTGAGGAAAAGGGACTATTGAGTAGTGGGTAAAGAGACAGAGAAGAACATGACACCTTGAATGTAAGAACCATGGGATGCTACCTAGGGAAGATGTGGTGAACTCACTGGGCAGATAAGCATGCTTTTGTACATCCCACCATGGATTTGTAGACTGGTATATCTGCTCTCCCATAAAGTGATCAAAACCAAGGATGTTTTCTTTGAGGGTGAGGATACTAGGATTGAGATTTGGATTTTCTTTCGTGTGTTAATCTAGAAAGATATAATGTAATCTTCTATATCTTTTATTCAAAATGAGACCATTTGAACATTGCAGAAATGATGCAGATGTGTTGGAAGATCAGCTATCCACCTTCTTTCTCAATTCTGGCATTAGGTACCTGTAAAGCTTTCTTTTAAGGGAAGTCCTCAATAGTGAACCATCTTGTAAGGAAAAACAATAGCATTTCTGTTTGAAAACTAACAGACGAGGACCCTAGGAGAGACTTATGTAGATCTAATCTACATGGGAAGTAGAAAAAGACAAGATCTCCTGAGTAAATTGAGAGCATGGGGACCTTGGGGGAGGACTGGAGCGGGGAGGGGAGAGGCAGGGAGGGGATCAGAGAAAAATGTACAGTTCAATAAAAATCAAAAGAAGAAGAAGAAGGAGAAGGAGAAGGAGAAGGAGAAGGAGAAAGAGAAGAAGAAGAAGAAGAAGAAGAAGAAGAAGAAGAAGAAAAAGAAGAAGAAGAAGAAGAAGAAGAAGAAGAAGAAGAAGAAGAAGAAAACTAACAGGAAAAGGGATCACTTCGGCAAAGTAGATGCTTATTTTTGCAAATATACATGTCTCCCTCCCAGGTCAGGTAGGTCTGGGACTAGCCCGGAGGAGGCACCTGCATTCAAGTGCAGTCTGCAAGTCTGCATTATGTCTCTGGGGCACTCCCCTGTGACACTTTAAGCTTGCCTGCTTCTGTTGGGTAGGCTGGGTTCCAGCTGCTAGCCTCACCTGTTTGTATGCTCTGTGGAACAGCACAAACCGCCGGCGTGCGCTCTTGCTGATGGGAAGCATGTGCTTGTCCTTCTGTGGATCAGCAAGAAACGTTCCTAAGGTTAGAGCAGAGTGGAGGCTCGCCCCTCCTGCTCTTCCTGGTGCTGCCAGGGCAGGGCTCCCAGATCCTGTGAGGTCTGCAGTGAGTCCCACACTCTCAAGGAAACCAGAGCCAGAGTCCCAACATAGGACAGAGCTGTACCCTTCCGCCCACCAAATCTCTACAGTAGAAACGTCATCCCCATTTCACAGATGACAAAACTGAAGCCCGGAGACGTGGAGCACCTTGCATGGCTTATCTCTCTGATCAGAGCAGACCTATAACCTATAACCCAGGACTCGGTGTTGGGAGTGGAAGCCAGGACTGGGTGGGGGAGGGGCAGATGCTTAAGCCCGCCACTTCCCCAGGCTCCAGTCATGATCTACTCACACTAGGCTGCAGTTTTGACATGATGGCAAAAAAGTTGTTGGCCAGAGTGGAGAACTCCTTCGAGATCCTTAATTTAGCTATTTTGCTGTAGTAGTTTTTGAAAACGGTGTCCAAGTAGAACTTCAGCAGACTGTGGGCAAGGTAACAGCTCTCAGCATCCTGGGGGAAGAAGCAAATCACTGAGGCATCTGCCAACCCTAACCCTAAAGGGAAAACTCATGTGCCAGTCAAGGCAAGATGAATGCCAAAGGGTCTCCCTGGAAACGAGGGTGGCACTAGACAGATCTGGAGGGATGGCAAGAGCCCTGTGGAACAAGTGATTCACAGAAGGACCCCAGACCCCAGGAAGAAGTTACCCGCCCAAGGTGACTCAGTCATTCCAGATGCTAGCCCGGCTCCCAGGACTCCTGGGATATCCCAGGACCCAGATGACATTCCCTTCCTTCTCTACTGTACGGCCTCGTTAACGTATGGATCCTGATAAGCATTTGAACCTGGACTTTGCGACTGAGAGAAGGAAAATGACTGGAAGGTGAAGCGTGAGACACCCGATGCCCTTGACCCAGCAAGTGTTGTCTGGCCCAGTCAGCTCCGGAAGCTTGGTGCCCTCAGGAAGCAGTCTGTGCATGCTCATAGACTGTCTGGAGCAGTGGTTCTCAACCTTCCTAATGCGGCAACCCTTTAACACAGCTCCTCATGTGGTGACCCCCAACCACAACATTATCATTGCTGCTTCATAACAGAAATTTTGCTACTCTTCCAAATTGTAATTAAATATCTGTGCTTCCTGGTGGTCTTAGGCAACCCTTGTGAAAGGGCCATTTGGTTCCCAAAGAGGTCAGGACCCGTAGATTGAGAACCACTGGTCTATGCATGTGGTAGGAAGATGGTAACAGGTGAGAGAAAAGGATGGAGGTGAAATACCGACTCCCTTCAGAAGGTTCCCGCGACGTTTCCATAAGCAGAAGAAAGATGACTGGCAAGTACCTGACTCTGGAAATTGATGCTTATCAACCTCAACCCCACCCTTCCGCAGACCCACAGAGTAGTAACACCAAATAGAGACCACCCTGCCTCATGTCCTGCCCTGTCCTGTGTAAGGTCACCTCCAAGCAGAAGGGAGGGGCTCCCAACAGCTCCTCTTAGAGAGCTATCCCATTCCCCACTATCTGATTACCGAGACATCCTGAAGAACCTGAGGTTTCAACAGCCGGATACTTGTGATGTCATCCTGAGTTTGCTTTGGGAACAGAAAGAAAAGATGTCTCCAGGTTAGGGATCTGCGTGTAGGAGCCAATCTTGTTAATACACTGTCCCCACCCCTCTAAACTCTATCCCATCTGTCAGACTTCAGAGGCCAGAAGGACCAGAGGAGGACCCAGGAGGGGACATAATGAGCTCGCTCCTGGGGAGGAGATACAGGTTCTGTCTACAGAAAACCACTAAGCTTACTCATCCCAGAGGGGCTCAGGGACCCCCAGGGGTCCTTAAAACCTGACCACAAACTTGAAAAAAAGACCCTTTGCTTCCATTAGTCCTATGAGAGACAAGGAAATGAGCCTTCCAGGGAGCCACAAAAGATAAGGTTAATCTCCGTAGTTCACATGGGAAGTAGGTGGGAGCAGGTGGTTGCACCTAGAAGCTGCTTCTTGTTCTTGGAGGACTCTCCAAAACCCAGAGCGTCTCATCCTGCTTCTTAAACTTGGAGCCAGACTCACCCAGGATGAAGTAGAATCACTCAGGGTTCCTTTTATGCCCCTTGGTCTCTCCTTCTTTTACTGGTGACTGGCCACAATGACTGGGCCTCAGTTTCCTCATGTATAGCAGTAGGCATAGTCTCCTGACCTCATCAGCTTTCTCTTTGTTTGTTTGTTTGCTTGTTGTTTTGTTTTGTTTTCTGTTTTTTGTTTGTTTGTTTTGAAACAGGGTTTCTCTGTGTATCCTTGGTCGTCCTGGAACTCACTTAGTAGACCAAACTGGCCTCAAACTCACAGAGATCTGCCTGCTGCTGCCTCCCGACCGCTGGGATTAAAGGTGTGCGCCACCACTGCCCAGCTCATCAGGGTTCTCATGTATGAAACTGAGAGCTGGAAAGGGAGCCACTGCTCTGGAAAGACACCCCCCCCCCAGAGGGGGAGCACCACGAAAGGATCCAGGGCTAGTCTCCACTTACCACAGCATTCTTCACAGCCCAGAAGGCCTCCCACAGTTCTGGGAGAACGACCCCTTCCACTCGGCAAGGCCCAAATCGGAGCTCATGACCCTGGAGCCCTGGCACTTGGTTCCAGACAAGAAGGATGAGGCTCAGGAAGGACAGCGTCTGTAGTGCTGGGCTCATCTGGGCCGAGGAAAGGGCAGGTGCTTCTGCTGCAGGAAAGGAGGCGTTAGCCTGAGCCAACCTCTGACTCAGAACCCACATCCCCAAACAACGTTCCCGGAGGTGATACAGCCACCCTTAGGCGCACACAAATGGGATACCTGGGGCTAGAGAAATGCTGTGGTTTGCATGTCCCCACCAAAACTCATATTTAGATCCACTCCCTCCTGTGAGGTACGTAGAGGCAGGACCTTTAAGAGGGGATGAGGTTACCACATCTTTGCCTTCTTGAGTGAATTCGTGATTGTGCGGATTACTGGTTGATGGGATAGCGTTAGAGTGGGTTTTGTAAAAGCCAGTTCAGCTCTGCCTTGCCTGTGCCTTCTTGTCCCATGATGCCAGACACTGTCTAGGACTGAGTATGTAGGCTGTGCTTTGGGGTTATCAGCCAAAAGGAATTGTCACCCCTGATATCAAACTTGCCAGAACTCTGAGACAAGCATCTTTTCTTTATAAACTATGCAGTGTCTGATGTTCCGTTAGAACAATAGAACGGGCCCTAAGACAGGTGGGTTTCCAGCCAAGAACACCACAAGCCTTGCAGGATGCCCCGGAGTGGGGCAAGGGTCTTGCTCCCTTCCAGCTCATAGCTGCTGGTGTCGCTGCCTCTCTGTCCTCCATCACCGTGTTCATCCACCTCCACACCTGCATCTCCTTCCTTCTCTACCCCGGTCCTCCCGGCCACCAACAGAAATGAGGATGGGGGACCGAGAGGATGGAGGAAGAATTTGGCCAAACACACAAGACCCCAGACTCAGGAGGAGAAAGAGCTCACTTCAGCCTTTGGTTTCTCGAACCTGCTTTTGAGTCCTAGAGCAACTTCAGCAGATCTATTTCTCCGTCAGGAGGCAAGCAGCCTTCACGCCACAACACAAGGTAGCCCAGGGCTAACGGAGGCCCACAGGGTGAGGCACGGGAGACAAATCTGGGTCACACGCTCAAGTCTGCCACCTCAGTTGGCAGACGCGCTCCTACCTCTAGAATTGATCTTTCCAGTAAGCGAAATCAGAAGGCAGGGCATGAGTTCCAGGTGAGTCATTCTCAAAATGCTTTTCTGAAGGGCCCGTTGGGATGACTGTGTGACAGGCCCTCAAGCGGGAGTCAGAACCGTACCTCCATGACTACCACAGAAAACGGTTTGCCGTGCCTCCCTTGCCCTTTGATTCTCTTCTCTTTCCTCTTTACTCCTCCGCCCCACTTTCTACAACCGTATTGGAGCCGTCTTATTCACATCCCCACCTGACACCTGAAAAAACTGTTTCCCAACCCCAGAAGGGAAGAGACGGCAGAGAAACTGGCCTTGGAATAAATACCTGGGATAGGGAATAGGTGCCCAAGGCCAGAGCCCATTGTCAAAAATTTCCCCATTCTCTTCTAAGTGCTATAGGCTTCCCAGCTTCTCTTGAAGTCCATCTCTGGATCTCTTATCCCCCTGGCCTTCCTCCCATCCAACCCCAATCCTCCTTGGTGTAAGCTGGAGTAATCAACTCCACATTCAGTTATTTCCTTATATAAACATTTGAAAGGTTGATATCTGCCAATCTGCCCTTAAGCTGGCATTCTCGAACAAGGCCACCGCCTAAAGCTTCAGAGCAAAGTCTCTGGGCAGCCCCCACCGCTCACCTCAGGTCCCAAAGTGATGCTAGAGGCAGCTGCTGATAGCGGCTGGTTCTTTTTGTGGTGGGAAGAGTTGGGTAAGCTCCTCAGCATTCAATGGTGGAGGATATTCTTGTAGGTAGAAAAGTTCCCGCCTCAGTTATGGAAGCGATTTCAGAACTGAGAGTGTGTGCAGGCAAGCGAGGCTTGGAGAACGGTATATAAGGGGTCTGGCAGACAGGGGCGGGGGCAGAGAGGAATGTAGAGCACGGAAAATTGGTCATGCTTCTCCAGAGAATTGCTTCACCACCTAGTCACCCTTTGCTCGTAGACAATGGGGAAAGTGAAGACATCAGTCCCTCAGGTGAGGTGAGTCCCAGATCTCTCAGCTGAGGGACCGATTTCTACACTTCCCCTATGTCTGGGAGCAAAGGCGGTCACTTTCTAGCTTCTCTGAACTATAGCTCCTACAGCTACAAATTCTTATTTTTAAAGATTCAAAATTATGCCCAGTGTTACATGCATGTCATCCCAGCACTTGGAAGGCAGAGGCAGGAGGATCAGAAGTTCAAATTCATTCCTGGCTACATAGTCAGTGTAAGACCTATCTGAGTACATGAGCTCCTATTAAAACAAACAAAAACAACAACAACAACAAAACAAAACAAAACAAAAAACGTCTGTCTGATCTACTTTCCCAGAGAAAAGGTGTGAGGAGAAAATGTAAAAGCACCCTGTGTATTCTCTATACATGGAAGCTGTAGTGATATTTCATTTGTTTTTTTTAAATAAATACAGCTTGCCTGAAGTTCAGGGAGTAGAACAGCGCACTGATCAGGTTTACAGACCAGGTAGTAGTGCACGCCTTTAATTCCAGCCCTAGAGAGGAATATAAGACGGGAGGAGACAGCTCTCAGACACAGTCTCATTCTGAGATTCCTGGAAGCAGGATCACCATTTCGGACTGAGGGAGAGGTGAGAGTCAGTGGCTGGTTGCTTTGTTTTTCTGACCTTCAGGTTGAACCCCAATTTCTGTCTCTGGGTTTTTGTTAATCATGCAACAGTAAACTTTGCATCACTGTGCAGAGTCTTATCTGCAAGCCTGAGGCCAGATCCAACACGTCACTGCTCAGCTACAAGCAGCTTGCATCTTGAAAACAGCCTTACGCTTTTTAAATTAATGGCGAGAGGAACCAGAAAAAAAATGATACTTTGTGACAACTGGGGGGAAAAGTGATATTCAGATTTCACGTATGCGTGAGTAGGTCACAGTCACGCCTTGACAGGCTGCTTTGGGATCGCAGCAGAGGTTGTGCGGCAGCGAGTGAGACCGTGAGAGCCCCAAGGCTTAACACATCCACTCTGTGGCCCTTTGTGGAAGTTCACCACACCCTGCTAGAAATCACCCTCTGCACGGTCCAAACATCTCCTGAAAGCTGGGTCCAGGCAAAAGACATGGACAGTAGAGTAACAGACAAGAGGTGGAAAGCCATCAGCTCAGAGGGAAGAATGGACAGGACGTGGCATAGACTGTTGACAGAGCGGGAGGGTGGTCTCCTGCTGTGACAGCAGCATCCTTCTCTTCCTGGCACACACACTGCCCTGCTCTATGTGGCATTCTTGACAGCCTGCTCCCTGTTGCTCTTACCAGCTTGAGTCATCTTGTTTCTGGGGATGCTGAGTGTCACGTTCCTGTCAAAAGAATTCAATAATTATGCCCTAGTTGTAATAGGACATATATCTCAGAAGTTACGGTTAGCCCATAGTTACCTTTCCATCCATCCCTGCTTCATTCCTAAAACCTACTTCTGCTTTTGGAAGAAACCAGGTTAAGGAGTAGGGCAAGAGGCTAAGGGGAGGAGGGAGCAACTAGACAGCAAAGGCAGGAAGCTGAGAGGCAAGGACCTCAGGTTAGCTGCAGCTCTAAGCGTCTGCTGACGGACTGAGGGCTGACTGATGAGCTAGGCTGAGGGCTGACTGATGAGCTAGGCTGGTTGTGAGACATACATCCATAAAGCACCCGAGGGGCTTCTCCCAGTGTCCTCCACACGGAAAACATTTAGGACTCAGGGGGTCCAAGTTAGAGGAGAGAGAGCTAAATCAGGAGCTCTCGGCGGATGATTTTGTCACCAGGCAACTGTGGGCAATGTTTGGGAACATTTTTGGTTGTCTTGATGGTGGGCACTACTGACATGCAGTGGGCTGGACTGGGAGTGCGACTGAGCTCCTGCCATGTTCATCTCTGCCCTCTCCAGGGAGAATCATGTCATCCAAGGCAGCAGTGCTGTCCGGCGGTGCTCAGTAGAGGGCAGATTCCACACTTACTCAGATTCATTGCCCCTCAAAGCTCCTCTCAATGAACTCAGCCACGCTGGAGCTGGGTTTCTCTCTGCTTCAGGAGGAAATGGAAAGCTCACTAAACCTGAGTTGTCCCTTCCCAAGGGGTGGGAAAAATGCCCAGCAAGAGAGAAGCAATGAGCATGTTAATTAGAATTTCTTGAAGGCCAAAAGATAGGAGAGAGTCATGACATCACCTTTTTTCCCAATGAATTGAACTTAATCTTTATTTTAAGAGATGTTTATCTCCCCACGGATGGGAAAACCCATGCTGTAATGATGTGGGACACCTGGCCATTCCATGAGTCCTTTGCTCTAGCTGCAGAACCAGTGAGAGATGGCCAGTCTGCTCCCCCCCCCCTGCCTCCTTTCCTTTCTTTCTAAATAGAGTTTCACTAGGCTCCCCTGACTGGCCTTAAACTCTTGATTTTCTGCCTCGGGCTTCCAAATGCCAGAATTAATATGATACAGTTGTGCGAAATGCTCAGAAAAGGCAAAGCTACCGGGGCAGAGAAGGGGCTAGCTGCTGCCCATGACAGGGGTTGGGGCAGAGCAAGTGTTCTCAGGCAGTGGTCCTCAGCCTTCCTAACACGGCGATCCCTTAATACAGCTCTTCACACTATGGTGACCCTTCAACCATAAAATTGTTTTGTTACTACTTCATAACTGTAAGTTTGCTACTGCTTTGAATCGTAATGTAAATGTAAAATGATATCCAGATGGTCTTAGGTGACTCCTGTGAAGTGTTGTTTGATCCCCAAAGGGTCACGACTGAGAAGTACTGTTCTAAAGTTATAGCGTGGTGATGATTGCTCAACTCTAAATACATTTTAAAGCTACCAGATCCTACACTGTAACAGGTGACCACAGGGATCACCTTCAAGTTTGCTTTTTCTAAAGAATAGGAAAGCATGGAGGGAGGGAGAGAGGCGGGAGAGGGGGAGGGAGAGAGGGGGAAAGAGGAGGCTTCAATGGAAATGAGATGTAGTTCATTCTCATAGTCACTAAGGTCAGTCTCAAAATGCTACCCTTCTCCTTGTGTCCCATCTATCCTCCC